GCAGGGGGCGGCCTGCTTCAGGGTCCAGAGGGTCTCGGCCCAGAACACCTGGCCCGCTGCCCAGCGGCCGCCCCACGCTACCATTGTGGCTGTGGCCGTTCATGACCACCTGGCTGCCGGGGCTGGACTCCCTGCAGGCCACCCGGAGCCCGGCATGGCTCAGTGGCTGGGCTCCTGCGCTGACCTGCGGAGAGCAGAGGGACTTAGTCACAGGAAGGCCTTGGTGACTGACCAGAAGAGCAGGGATCAGCACCACCGTTCCAGAACATTCGAAGGCACAGGCCAGCTCGGGAGGTCAGAATGCCAACATGTGGGTCACCATCCAGAAACATCAAGTCAGCCTGGGGCCTCTCGGCTTGGACCCCCCCACCCCGCCCAGTGCCGTCATTTGCTAAACCAAACTCCCTACTGCGGCCAAGAGGCCCTCTGTGGTCAGCCTTCCGCCCACCCCACCCCAGGCTCACTGCCTCCCAGCCACGCCGGCCTCCGCGTGACCCCAGCAAGTCCTGCTCTGAGCCTTTGCAGGGGCCGCACCCTCTGCCAGGAACACCAAACAGCAGACCCTTGCCTGCTGACTGTCTCCGTCCCCAAGGACGCAGCTGGCACCCAGTGAACACCCGCTGGACGCTGCGAGCTGGCGCTGCCATCAGGGGTGCCTGGGAGCAGAGAGCAGCATGGGAGGAGGATGTGGTTCTGATCCAGATCAGCACCCCCAGACTTCTAGACGGAGACTCTGGCTCCTCGCCCCAGACTTTCCAAAGGCCTGAGTGTGTTTACGCAGCTCAGGTGAGGCCTGAGCCACATCAGAGACCAAGGCTGACGCTCCCTCTGCCTCGGCAGGTTCCAGGACCAACCCTCCCTGCCAGCCCACTGTCTCACACCCTCACGGGCACACCCTGCGGCCACCTGGCCAGGGTTTATTGAGCATCTACTATGTGCCATGCTTCAATCTTGCAGATGTCCCCCCTCACCCTCACAGTATACCCCAGAAGGGGATCCTGGGCTTGGCCAGTCTTAGGGATGGAGACCCCGAGGCACAGCACTGTGAAGGGACAGATTCTGGCCTCGGCTGCCTGGTGGGATTCAGGAGACACGGGCTGGAGCTCCTCTAGATGCCAGGCCTGGGTCAGGGAGGTGGGCAGCAGCTGTGCCTATAGGCAGGACAGTCCCCACTCCCACTGGGGTGGCCAATATGGAGACCTTCAACTCAGGACACACCAAGATGAGCCCGACTGTAGGGGGAGACAGAGCGGCATTGCCCACCACCCACCACAGTCCACGCGTGCCCTCGTCCAGCAGCCCCCACAGGGGTCTGTCCCCTCCACCAGGTACCTCCAGATGCTGGCGCCATCCCCTCGTGGCCAGCCAACCTCGTCAAGCCTGTCCCCATCCCTGCCTCCGCCCACACTCGGCCGGGCACGCTCAGCCCAGCACTCAGCAGCGAGGCCTCCCGCCCTGCGCTGCAGGACTCGGTGGCCCCTCCCGGCCCTGGTTTCTCTCTACACAAACTCCCGGGCCCCGCTCTCTACGCTGAGGCCACCGCCTTCCAGGTGGGCAGGAGCTCATCCTGGCCCTACGTCCTGCCTTCACCCGAGGGCAGGGGGCAAAGAGAGCCCAGGTGCCCTTCCACCGTCCCCTGAAGGTGCAGAAGGTCCCCACCTGGGCTGGGGAGCACAGGCAGGCAGGAGAGGCCGGTGGCCTGGCAGACAGGACCCAGAGGGGGCGGGGGCCTGCAGAGGGCTGCTGCAAACGACCTTCCAAACGCACCGATGAAGAGGCAATTTGGGATGTGACTCAGCCACCCGACGCCTGGGCCAAGTTCTGCGGTGTATCTGCCATGTTCCTCCTCCCCTGGCAGCCGCGTCCTAAGGTGCCCTGGGCAGGGAGGGGGCAGCGGGGGGCGGGGAGGAGGGGAAACATGACAGGTGGCTTCTGAGAGGGCAGAGGGTGGAGGGCTTTCCCTGGGCCCCTTGTGTGGACAAGTGCCAGGGCTCTTACTATGCTTCAAGCCCTTGATCAGAAAGATCACATTTCATCCCTACCGCCACCCAATGGGGCAGGTGACATGCCTGTTCCCATTCTACAGATGAGGCAAAAAGCTCAGAGAGGTTAAGCACACTGCCCAAGGTCACACAGCCAGGAAGGGCAGGCACCAGGTTGGTGCCATCCAGAGGTGTCGGGATCTGTCATGGGAAGAGGGAATCAGCCTGGCCTTGCCCCAGAGAGGCCACAAGCTGGGAGACAACGGGTGGTGAGTCCCGGATCCCTCCCCCGGCCTCAGATGAAGAGAAGGACAGAGTGTCTTTTCCGAGATCCCCCTGGAAAAGGGGCAGCCCATTTCTAAAGGCGGGGAAGGACCAGAGGCGCTGAGGATGCAGGTCCCCTCCCCCAGGGCTGCCTGGACACCACAGCCCGAGAAACGCCTCGAAGCACCAGCCAAGGCTTGGAACCATGGACGGTGTTTCATCCCTTTGTTTTTATTTCTGTGGTGCTGGGGGTTGAGCCAGGGGCGCTCTAGCACTGAGGACAGCCCCAACCCTGCTTTATTTTTAATTATTATCTTTCTACACAATTCCTTTATTTTATTTTCTATTTATTTTTATGTGGTGCTGAAGATTGAACCCAGGGCCTCGCATGTGCTAGGCGAGGGTGCTACCACTGAGCCACAACCCTAGCCCCCCCCCCTTTTTTAAAAGCTTTTGAGACAGGGTTTTGCTAAGTTGCGAAGGCTGGCCTCAAACCTGTGATCCTCCTGCTTCAGCCTCCAAAGTCTCTGGGATCAGAGGCAGGGCTGCTGCACCCAGCAGGAGGCTGTGTTTCAAGTTCAAGGCCCCAGTTTCAACACGGAGCATCCCCATAAGGTAGGAGCACCCTGTGGACTGCACTTGGATTCGAGCACCCTGGGCATTTAAGAATTGTTGAATGTGTCTGGTCACAAGACCCCTGCTCCCTGAAGGCTCGAGCCCAAGAGACACACAGACTTGTGGGAAAATGGGGGGGGGCGGGGCAGGGGGGGCAGGAGGGCTCTTGAGAAAAGCAGGGAGCAGAGGAGCTGGCCCACCTAAAGTCATGTGGGAAGAAAGACAGAGCCAGCAGCCCCCAGAGGCCTTTTTACAAATGATGGGCTGGTTGAAGCAGCTGCCCAGGAGAACCCTCAGGTGTCCCTACTAAGGGGCAAAGTCACCGCCCCTCTGGAACGCCTCTTCTTTAAGGCACCCCAATAGTACTCATCCCGACACCCTGGTGCCCGCAAGGGAGTAAGAGACACCTCTTCCCAGTCTTAAGAACTGGATCAGGAGGTGTCCCCAGCTCATGCGCCAGTCCTCAGAGCAGGGCCCCCACCCCCACCCCAGTGTTTCCAAAGAGCCAGAGCCACACACAGGCAGAAACTTCCAGGACGCACAGGCCTGTTCAGAGTCCCAGCCAGGGCAGCCCCAAGGCTTCGTGTCCCTGTGGAGGGTGAGGAAGGACCCCGGGGAACCCCTCAGCCCTCTCAGGACCCTAACTCTGCAAGGTGGGCAGGCTCCACTTGTCCTCCTGCCCTGGGGCACAGGCGGCTCGTAGCTGAGCTGGGTGCTGGCTGCCAGCCTGGTCCCCATCACCACCACCAGGAACCTGCCTGCCAGCCCGCAGGGGCCACTCAGCCTGCCCTGACCTCCTGGAGGCCGCCACCCTCACTGCCCTCCTCTCTGATCCTCTCCATCAGCGTCTTCGCTGGGCCCCCAGCTCTGACATTCACATCTGCTGCCACACCTTCCAGGACAGCAGGGGCAGTGCCCTGGGCTGGGTACGGGGACCTGTGTGTCCAGGGAGAACTGGGAGTCTGGGGCTCGCGGACCCTTTGCGAAGCATCCCAACCCTTGGCCCGAGGGCTCAGCCGTGGTGAGGGGCTCCTCCTTCCCGTCCCCAAATCATCCCGGCTCCCTGCCAGCCCTGCGAGCTCCCCACCTCCAACGTGTACCGGGCGAGTTCGGGACTTGCTGCCCCGCGCCCCGCCGGGCTCCCCAGGACGGGGTCCGGCTCCCACTCCCTCGGCGGAGCACGCTCGTCCCCTCCTCCGCGCGCCCCCTGGCCTCCAGACCCCGCGAGACCCTCCCTCCTGGCCCCTACCCCGAGCC